TGTCTGTAAAATCCATTTTAATCTTAGAGCTGTTTGTTAGGATACTCGTTTAAACAACTTTATGTAAACTGAACAAATTTAGCTGCTCTTATCAACAAATCAAAACTACATAAAAAGTTAGGCTTTTTACCAACTAACACCAATCATCTTCAACTGATGTATTGAAAAGTTCAAAATTTAGTTTGTTTAGAGTGAAACTCAATAACTGACATGATTATGATCAGTTTGTAGTGATTCAATGAGTATCATGTAAATCAGGGAGTATCATCCTGGCAGATGGAGTTTGCTCTGTGTTTGGTCTTCTGTATAAGTTGTTGCGTCATTAAGCGGACGCAGTGTTGGTGTTAACTGGGGGAACGAAGGACTCCTCACACCACATGTTGGTCACTGAAAGCAGCAGCACTGACTGGCTTTGTGTTTGTGCTTTGGTAAGAAAGTGAGGCTGGTGATGTTATGATGCCTCCTCTGTTTTCTTTTCTAGCAAAATGAAGGAAAAAAAGTGGTTTTGGGGGGATTTACAGGTCCACACTTATATGTGATGGTGAAGTTTTGCATTGTGTAAAGGCATAAAAGCACAATTCTTCTTGCTTTTGTGCAAGAAGAGAGTTTGGTTGAATTAATCTTTATACAAATGGTGTTTTAATGTATTTTTATTTTAGACTTTGATAGATTTTAAGTTGCTATGGTAATTTTCTTGCTTACCCATCTGGCTATAACACCTATTATAACATTAATGTTACAAAAGTAAATCAGAAGAAAAAACTAATCAAGAAAAGCGAGTCACTTCTGCAGACAGCGATGTCGTCATTGCACATCACCAGATCATTTACAGTAATCTATCCTGTAGCCACATCGACCCTGAATCCTGTGCTGACTCAGCACTTAGCAGATTGCCCCTAGTGATCAAATGTGGTACTACAACTGAAAATAGGAAGCTTGTTGTTTTTTTGTTGTTGTTTTTTTCACCTCTTTGTTTCCATAACTGCTGACGTTGTGAATGCACCATGATTCATGCGAAGGCTGGTGGCTCAGCTTCTTTTATATGTTGTATCACCCAGATGGGGGTCAGAGAAATGAAGACAGAGCAATAATAAGGTTGCATTTGAACTTGTGTCAGGGATAGAGTTATACTAAGTAGTAACGTTACCCTGCATGTGTCAAACGTGTTTATAGATCAGAAAACAGAACACTTCTACTTGAAACTGCATGACACAGCATGGCTGCTCACATCTATCCAGTTACTCAGACGTGACGTAATATAATCAATATCCACTTTTTACAGGGCCAAGGCAGGTGGCTTTGGATTAGTTTCACTTTTTTTATGGAGCCAGAGATCTCAGCTTCCTCGACTTGCACAAAAATCAACAAACTGTAGAGAAATGAAAGTCATCAGATTTACACAGCTGAATAAACTTTCACTTACTTAATCATGACATAAGCCTCTGAAACTAAGCAAAACTCATCATAAATGAGGAACTGCATGACACAGCATGATGCATTTATCTGTAATTGTAATATGAAATCAAAGTCATACTGAAAGCATGTAAACATTGACAATGGAATAATAAATAATAAATAACAATAAACCTTTTTTTTCTAAATTGTACATTTAGGACCTGTCCAGCATAATATAGATTGATAGCAAGCAAAAAATTTACTGATTTAACATCCATTGTCTATTTGCATAAGATAACACTGAGTTTCTCTAAGCTGCTTTTCAAAATGGGAAAGACAAGAGAGTATATCATTCCACTGAGGTAAATGTGTGTTGAAGTAAACAACACATAAACTTGCCCATATACAGAGTCAGAGCAATAGTTATAACATTAAAAACAACTCATGGTGTGACTAACCTGGCTCTTGCCATCACTTATGAGCTCACTCACAGTGAGAACGTAAGGGAAGTAATAAAAATCTGTCAGATAATTACACGGACCGGTGGCGTCTTGGGGTCACTTAAATCCAACCTTTTTGGTTCTAAGCTTGATTTTGCATGTGTATATTTGAGCAAAACACCACTTTGCTTGATAAAAGCTGTGACAGTAAGCAAAAAGATTGCTTGTTTCATAAAAAAATTTGGTTTTGTCCACCTGAATGATCTGACGATAACTCTGTGATGCTAAAGGAAGTGTGTGTTTTAAAATCCACCAGCCGGTTTGTGTCTGTTTTCTGTTTGGTGCAGAGCAGAGTGGGGATTTTCGCTGAGTTTATGGCTGGAAGCAGCTGCCTGTTGCTGATTAAACCCAGACCCCCAAGTTGCTAACTGTCACACGGAAGCAGCAAGTCAAGGAAGTTAAACTGTTGAAAGTTGGGGAAAAATCAGTCCCTAGCTACTAATTTACTGCTAATACCGTTTCAGGCCACATTAATGTTGAATATTTTACTTTCAACAACAAGACCCAGTTCACAGCAGGAGTGTGAAATTAAAAACTGTAAACATTAGCAATGCATTCATTTATGAAAGTCTCTAAGCCAAGACTTCTTTGAAGCGAACAGAGCACCTGTTCATGAGTCGATTCGCTGTCCTTGAGAGCAAAAGCAAAGAGAGCAGAGGAAATAAGGCGTCCACTGAGCACACACAGGAAACTCCAGTGTTTGTTTGTCTGACCCAGCAAAAAAAAAAAAAAGGGGGCACGAACTCAAACGGAAACTGGGGAAGTGGGCGATTATGTGATACACTGCACGCACTTGTTTGTGTTTCATGTTTGAGTGAATGTGTTCTGACGAAACGGCCTGCTCCACACATCAAAGACGGCCCATTCACTCTGCTTCTGAAGCAACTTTACTGTGAGCCGTAATGCTGTCACAGCTGTTTACTCAGCCAGATACATGACTGTACACTGCTCTGCCTCTGGATGTTTTTCTTCAGCTTTTTTTTCTCCCCGTCTCTCCGTTTTGCTGATTTCTTCCTCAGTAATTTTCCAACTGTTGACTGAAGGTATTCCAGTTTTCCAGTGTGTGTCCTTTGGTAACTGAAAACTCCTTCATTACTTCTTGAAACCAAGATAGCAACTGATAACAGATAGCTTCATTTTGATTCATTTTAAATGCCTGGCTAGATGTTAATCTGAAAGAGGACATCTGTTTGTGATTTAATACTTTATTTAGTTTGGCTCTCTCAATTTGGATGCAGTGTTGAACGTTTCTGGTGCAATCAAACCACAAATTTACTCTGTGTAAATAGCTAGACTTTTAATTTCCAGATGTCTTCTCACCACAAGTGCATGCCTCTGAAATTTCTGTCAGACTAAATAGATTTTTTAAAACTGGAGGTTAATGTGACTCATGTTGACAAATATTTGCTGAAACATTTTACGATTCCCCTGATAAGGGACTTTATCTTGTGTTCTACTTTTGCATCCCCTCTCCCACATATCATGAGCAAACAGAGCAGGAGGAGATATGAATAAAACAGAAAAATCTCAGAGTCTGTGATTTCATTCTAGTGGACAGTCAGGTCAAAGGCAAAGCATACATAACCTTGAATCATAATTGTAGCTAAGCTATTCTAGCATTAGATTACAAAATGAAGAGGCCAGCGTTCCCAGCAAACAGAAGATATTTAAATTTAAACTGTAGTATCTTATGCATCATTTACACATGAATAAATCAGATGCACTCAATAGAATACATTTAAAATTCAAGAACTTATCATTATAAATCATCTCTGGACTTGAAAGTTGAATATTCTAGATGTCAATTCGAGCTACAAATCCAGGTTTCTTAATTATCTTCATTTTATTGTAGCCTTTACACTAATATCCCTGACAAATGAGTAGCAAAGCATAGTTTGAAACTTAATTTAGTGCTGCAACATAATTCACTGAGTTTAAAACTCTTCAAAACTTTGAAGACTTCTATATAATGTTTTGTCAAAAAGTCTCACAATTTAATAATAATAAAAAGTTGTTTTTGTTGTTTACGACCTTTGACCTTTTCTAGAAATTAGATTTGGCCCATTGAGCATGAAGTTTGGAAAAGGTCATCTATAAATACATCTTTGTGATATTATTCACTCCTAATGTACCATTTATACAAAAAATGGATCAAGGAGTCAACAATAAGCCTCATTGTTTCCATGAACTTCTTGTTTTTCATTTACTGCATTGATTTTCATGTAAAATCAGTGGCACAGTTTTTGAACCTCCACCTAACTCCTAATAAATGTAAGATTCTTAGCAGATGGAGAACAAATGAACATTTAGAAATTGAAAGAGTTATGTTGAAACTAAAAGGGTAACCGCTGTGGCAACCTCCTGTCTTTTAGTAAAGTCATAAATTAGACTCATTTTAGTGTCTGGGAAGCAGTAAAAGTGTCTGAACTGGCCCAACACCCTTGACAAAGGAAATATTTTCTCTCCAAAGAGCACAGCCCAAGGCGTCAGTCTGCTGATGTCATCACATACAGACCAATCTGAGTCAGAACGGTGGGCTTGCTCGTCTCTCTTACAGCAACAGAAGGCTGAAAGCACGCTCTAAAAAAACCCCTGCATAGCTCACATTCCATGAGCATGACCTAACACATCTAACGGACAAGCCTTTTCTTTGTTGATTTGAGGTTTGGGATTTTTAAGCTTGCATAAATCAGTGAATAGGTTTACAGACAAGGAGCTAATCTTGATGTGAAAGGTATTTCTTCGAAGACAAGCGATTAATGATTAAAAAAGTTTAAAGTACCGGATTCAAGCCATTAATTTTGAGATTATTTTTTTTCCTCTATTTGGATTCATCGAACAAAGTATGAGATGTTTGACCTGAGAAGCTTTTGTTAAAACTTTGGCTCGTATTTTTAGATCGGACTGAAACAACAAAAGTTCTTTTTTTAAAGTGTTTTTTGAAATATTCAAATGTAAACACAATAATGACACTAAATAATTTACAAACTCACAGGCAACAGTGACAAATTCATGCTTTAACAACAAATACACAAAAGAGTTAAACATTTATTTAAATAAACCTCACAACATTTTTGAAAAGCCAAAGCATTGTCTATCCTTGTCTTCATGTCCGTCTCCTGTAAACCACCCATGCCAGCATGATGCATGAAATATTTGCAGATGACAGTGCAGACTGTCTGCACAGCAAATGCTTTGACCCCACCTCAATACCCAGCAGTTGTTGCTTGAGTGGAAACATGTCCAAGCCTGCAGTGAAATGAAGTCAAGTCACGTTTCTGATGCTTCACATCATAAAAACATCATGCAGTCACCAATTATAGTGCAAGTAATAAATATTACATTTTGTCAAATACCATTATCAAAATCATCAAGCAAATAAACATTAAATATGTTGACCAATGTTCCACAGATGCCAAAGTTGGAAGAAGTTGCATATTTTGTATCAGTTTTAGATACAAAGATACTTCTTATAGTTAGGCAGCAGAAGCAGGAAATAACTGTAACAAAGGAGTATTCATTGACATGAAGATGAGAACGGCCCTCTAAAGACAGAGCAACACTCATATTAAACTCTTGGTCTAATTATGAAATTATAATACATAATTTTGGGACCAACATGGGGCCAGTGTGTAGACATCTACCCATCAATGCTCTGTAATTTCCTTTAATAAAAGATTTACCTTTGGGGGAGAATATGGCACCTTAAGCGGCTTTAGGCCAGAGGACCTTGTTCTTCCAAATTTAGCCCTAATTACACCTGCTTTACACTTGCAGGGACAGGGAAAGATTGTGGGTTTATTCACAAGGTCACATAGTTGTACATGTGTAGTGAGCCCTGATGGCAAATTTAGAGAAGCCAATTATACACGGTTTTTTACACTTTGGGAGGAAGCCAGGCTACAGAGAATGTCTAAACATCATGTGAGAACGACCCCCAGAGGGATGGTGAACCTGTATGTCAACCACATTTCATTGTATGTGAGTTGAGCTCTTTATTTCGTCTTTCTGGTTCGTCTTCCCAGAAAGACGAGCCACGATTGGGCAGAATCTGTTTGTGTTTGACGTTTCTGCTCTCTAAACATCCGTCCTCATCACAGCGCCTTTCATCCTGTCACAGAGATCCAACTTCTCACAGCTCTTATCTGATTTTACAAATGACTGTAAATGTCTAGACGACTGGGTACTTTGATATTATCTGATAAAACTGATAATGCAATAAACAGGTGCATTGTAACAGCAAAATAAATGTGAGTGGTAGCTGGAGTTTTTAAAGTGCTTGACCCAGTTCAAGTGTTGTACAGTGTTACTGCTGCTTTGAGAGCAGCTAGCATTAATTATGTCAGCCAAATGGCCTCCTTACTGTCGTGACAAACTACAAGCTGACTGCAGCTGCCTCAGAGCTGATCTTGTGCGTCATGAGGTGTAGAAATGAAAACAAGCATCGATCCAGTCTTGTGGTTTTTCACTTTGAGTAACAACCACACCAATTCTGGGTAAAGGAGGAGAGAGGAAATTTAAGATGCAGCGTTGCACACACCTGTCTGTGCAGCTGTGTGAACAACCACAGCTGGATGACAGTCAGTCAGTTGGACTGGATTTGGTGGATTCTTTTGAAGGAGAATCATTTCTTTGTTGTCACAAACGAGGCTTCAATGAAACCAAAACCGTTTTTCGTGGCTCATTGTGTGCGCCTCTCTCCTGTCTCTGCAGTTCTTCCTGAGACTTCTTCGTTCCTGTTCCACCTGCTGCTTCTGACTGAGCTGTTAGTCCGATCTTCATCTCTTCCCATCCGCAGCTCCTCCCATTGTGGATTTTTTGGATCAATGATCCATCAGGTGGAAAGTTTGATGAACTTATCGAGAAAAATCCATCAGCTGGTAAGGCTTATTTAGAATTTCCTTGATCGCTGGCTTGACATGTTTTTTATTTATTTATTATCTCAGAATCATATCTTATAAATCTTTTTAAACTTTCACTGACGTAGCAACAGTTTTGGCAAGAAAGAAAATACAATTTCCTACTATAGGAATCATGGAACGTTGTGGGGTTTGTCTGGTATATCGACCAAATGAATGATGTTTTTTTTAACTTTTACTTTTTATTGTGTTTTGAACAGAGAACAGAAGAACTCGAACACTTTGAAGATGCCAAATTCAGTCTGGATAGCCTTCCTGAGTTGTATCACACTGCTGACCATCTTAGATCATTGAAGGTATAAAACTATAAAGATAAAAGATTAAATCAACTTATCTCTTCTCTTCATTCCTAAATGAATTAAATATGTGTTTTATGTGCCTGCAGGTTAATGAATCCCTCTCTCAGATGTACGGATACACTCAGTCCTTCAAACTGCATATCGACTGGTTGAAGGCGGCAAAAGAAAATGTCAGTTTGCCTTTCCAGACAGAAGAGGGCGCCAGCTCTCACCTTCAGCAACTGTCCAACCTCATTGGCAAATGTCTTCATCCGGTAGGTCCTCCTGCATTTATGTGAACATTTTCTGTGAAACCAAAGTCCAGAAATTATAGATATTACAGCACAGAAACTGTCAATGTATTGTGAATTAAATCATGTCAAAGGATAGTGAAAAAATAGAAATGTAATGTTTGAGCAAAAGATCACATTTATCTGAAGTTATAAGAAATGCAACAAGCTTATTAAAGATAATTGAAGTAAATGGGAGTAAACACTTTTTTTTTAAATATCAAAATAACTGTTATTTTAGCACTTTAAAGTGGCTACAAGGCATGTCAGGTGTTTTTATATTTGTTATTCTATATTTGTTAAGTTTTGATTATATTATATTATATTATATTATATTATTAAAATGATGTTATTATATTATTATACTATTATTAATGTTATTATTTATAAGAATATAAATATGAATATTCAGATTCTTAATTACTTATGCCAGTAAAGACAGATACCCCTTTATTTTTTCCTGTTACCATAGTTTCATGAATATGCATATTTATTTGAGTCAATCTGATTTCCTTTCCTTTTTTCTTTTTGTTTATAGCAAAACAAAGAGGCTCTTCCGTCATTGGCACCCAACCTTCCTGTTGTCTCCAATGCCTTTGATGCTCTTGTGTACTCTGTAGAAATTTCTGAGAGGTTAAAAGTTTTCTGTGTGTGGTCAAAAAGAATCTTACGGTACTTCCAGAGGCATTCTTAAAAAAAAAAAAACATTTTTCTTGCAGTCCTTTCGGAGGCAGTCCTGCTTTTGTAGACAGCGTAAGCCTTAAGGGGCATTAAAACATCTTCCCCAAGGAAACCACTGTTAACTCCAGAATGTTTTTAAGCAATATTATGTCATGTTAGTGGACTACCTCAAGATGGCAGCGTTAGGTAATCTGCTGTGGTGGTGCTGACCCAAACATCTCAGCAACAACCAGTCGGATCACTATGAAAGCTTAAATAAGGATAAAAATACTTTTTCTTAACTTTATTATCCACTTTTTTCTAAGCCCGCCTGTAGTTTACAAATGTGATTTTCCAAAAGATTCTCCATATTCATAAAGACCCTGTAAAAACTCATCAAAACAAATTTCCAAAAACTTAACGTTTTATGCATCTTTTCTTTTACTAAATAGCTGCAAAAATGTCAATTTGTTTGATTTTAAGAACAGAAGAGAAATGGTGAGAATAAGAAACCTGTCTGGCAGCTTCATGCACACTTGACATGACTTTGGTTTGCATTTAATTGAAGTATTTAAATGATATTTTCTAAATGATTTAAGAATAATTTTGCCATGCTTAATGGAAAGCTACTCTCTCTTATGTATGAGCAACAGCTCATACATAATTGGCATATCAGGCATCAATTATCACAGAGGATGGAAGAAATTCATTCCTGCGCTATTTTTCTGCCTTTGCACCTTTAATCCATATGTGAAAAGTATTTTTAGATAATAAGTTTTAGAAATAGATAAACTGAGAAGATACAGAAACAATAGTCTATTTTTCTTAGATCATTTTGCATATATCTAAATAACACCCTCTGGAAACAAATATGTCAAGTTTCTTATTACTTTTTTCTGCTCTTCTGCCATCATTATGCATCAGCTGTGTGCTGTGATTAATAATCAATAACAAAAGGTTGAAAATGTTATTTTCAGTCATTTTACCAAAATTTCCAGCCTTGCTTAGACTGTTCTTTGCTTGAATGTAGAACTTTTGCTCATATCAACAGCACTAACCATGAGTGTGGCATGACCATTTCACCATTTGATTGAATGCTTGCCAACTATTTTAACATGTCTGTTTAAAATAGGTATGATGAATAGTGTTGATGCAAAAATCTAATCTCTTAATGCTAGTACAGTGTTCAGAACCATCTCCATTTGATGTGACTGAGATTGGTGGTGCATTGTTTACAAAGTATTTTTTTGAACATGTTGTCATATGAATTTTTTTTTTAAGAAAGCAGAATGTAGGTTTATCTTGTAGGCTTGAGGAAATGTATATATTTCTTTTACATGTAGCCATTTGAACTGTACTCATGCACTGTGCCGAGGTAGGATAACCTATGACCTTTACTCCCACTGAGACTGTTTACACTCACAGTGCCTGCCAGGTGTTGATGAACCGAGTGATAAAAAATATGGATTCTGTAACAACTCTTCTGTTATATTTTTTTAACCTATTTAGAATGCTATTTATCAGTTTTTATATTTTGTATTTCAGCATTGAGATGCAGGCATCTCTTATTTTTTTTTATAAATATTGTTTTATGTCATATATATTATTAATATTAATGTGTTATTTTTATTGTAACTTATATTATTTATATGATTATAATGTATTGGTTTTATATGTTTAATGAAATTAATAAAATAATTGAAACATAAAGATTGTTTCAGTGTGGTGAATAAATAATGTCTTGTGATAAACAAATAAGCCAAAAAGCCATTGATGATTTGAAGTAAAATCTATTAACATTTTTCCTCCAAAATGATCAAAATATAGACATTTATTTGACATCTCTCTTTATAAAAATGTAATTATCAGGGAGTCTCATATATAATTTTACAAAGCTACTCAAAATCCTATTCACTAGGTGGATAAATATTGTGTGGAGGTCAACACATATTAATTATTTATTTTTTAAATATGGTAAATTTGCAATAAAATCAACCAAATTAGCTTGTATGGTAGAATTCAAACACATTAGAGATTTAAAGCTTTTTTCGTTTTGGTAGAACGATGGAAAGAATCACTTAACACTTTATGACAGAAAATAGCTCTGATTGTAGCTTATGTTGTTAATAAACTTCATCAAAATTCAAAAGTACATAATAAATGTGAATGAAGTCCAAATTAGGAAGCTTGGAAATTTTTCATCAAAAGACAATGGAGATTATAACCTTAATCTGCTAGTAGAGCTGGCAAACCTAAATTCATTGGAGTTAAAGGTCCACTGCATAGAAATGTGAAAAGTTGAAGTCACGTCACATGTAGTCTCTTGTATTGTCCCACAATGGAAATATATCCATAAAACAGTAGAAAAGTGACAGGCAATAACAGCAAATTGACTTAAACAAAGATAGAATATAAATATATATAACCCAGATTAAAGAATAAAAATACTGTGCAATAAGAGCAACATTTCAACATAAATGTTGCATTGTTATAAAAAATACTCGAGAGGAATTTGCCTCTGAGCTGGTTAATGAAGAAATTGACAAAATGTTCATGTCTCTTTGAGCTTTAAAAGGCAGACTATTAGAACGATGACTATAACACTATGAGTGAGCAGGGCAACAGAGACTTACATAACACCAGCGTGTTGATGCAGGACCTCAGACAGATGATCTCACACACAGACAGACTTTCATTGTAACAGAGCAAACTGTGTAGAGTACATGTAGGCTGAGGCCAGAAGCAACAGCTGACACTGGGATTTACAAATCACATGGGGTCTGGGTGTTAGAGGAAAATCCTTCCCCTGAACACGGAGTGAGGGAGAACATGCTTCTGAGTGCAGAGAGTGAGAAGGATGTGGGAGAATTTACTGGCTGACAGAAGCTAAATACAGATGACTCAAGAGGAACCTTCACATTTTACTGTATTTGCAATTTGGAGGGAACACTAAAACCCCAATGCACTAAATGCAGCAATGCTTAAGGTTTAAAGATCTGATACTGATACTGAATACATGTTTGGCTGGTTTTAGATGTTCTGCAAGCTGTAATTGTACCGTATGCCACACTCCACTTTGGTTTGCAACCTGCACAGATTGAGTGTGTTTCACTAACAGATATAGTGAAGAAGATAATGGTGATGGAATTTTATAGAGCTGCGAATCGATTGTCATGATCTGAAATTTTAGTGAGGCACAAATGAAGTTAAACTTCTCTCAATCATTCTGAATATGAGTCAGTATATAATATTTTATCATATTTTATACTATTTATGATGCTATAAGAGGCCAGGAGACCATGAAAGTAATTATTATTTGATGTTTGCAGAAGAATGTGCAGAAACATTTTCTTTCATCAAAATGTAAAACAATAAGTTTAGCTTTTTGCATCCTTACCATGCCTTTAAAATTAATGTCACTGCATGCCATCTGAAAACACAGGTCTTTCTTTTTATCAAATAAATCAAACTAATCTGGAATTTCTAATGCTATTTTTATTTTTGTCATTGACCATCTTAAACTAAGTTCTAAAATGAACAAAGCAGAAATGTTGAACCAATTGTGCTTTCTGGTCCTTGTTGACGTTATGGCAGCTGCGTTAGCTGTTATAGAGCTACATTTCTTTTAGAAAGTACAGAAAGCAGATTTGGACCGGGAGAACTTAGCATTAGCTGTGTGTTACCACCCAGCCAGCACACCTAGGTGGGCCCCATATGGGATATAAGTGGGCAGGCAATATGGGTCCCAAAAGGGTTTGTCCACGGTTTCCATGGTGGCCCCACATGGGTTTGCCCAAGTAGATTTTAATGGGTGCTGACTGGGTTTTCAGTGGGTCCCACATGGTTAACTCACATGAGGCCCATCTGTGGCCCACTAGGGTGCTGTCAAGAATATTTACGTGGGTCCCAATTGGGTCTGAACTGGGCTAGAATATGGGTACCAAGTGGGTTTGTCCACGGTTTCCATGGTGGCCCCACATGGGTTTGCCCAAGTAAATTTTTATGGGTGCTAACTGGGTTTTCAGTGGGGCCCATGTGGTTAACTCACATGAGGCCCATCTGTGGCCCACAAGGGTGCTGTCAGGAATATTTACCTGGGTCCCAATTGGGTCTGAACTGGGCTAGAATATGGGTACCAAGTGGGTTTGTCCACGGTTTCCATGGTGGCCCCACATGGGTTTGCCCAAGTAGATTTTTATGGGTGCTGACTGGGTTTTCAGTGGGTCCCACATGGTTAACTCACATGAGGCCCATCTGTGGCCCACTAGGGTGCTGTCAAGAATATTTACGTGGGTCCCAATTGGGTCTGAACTGGGCTAGAATATGGGTAACAAGTGGGTTTGTCCACGGTTTCCATGGTGGCCCCACATGGGTTTGCCCAAGTAAATTTTTATGGGTGCTGACTGGGTTTTCAGTGGGGCCCATGTGGTTAACTTACATGAGGCTCATCTGTGGCCCACTAGGGTGCTGTCAGGAATATTTACGTGGGTCCCAATTGGGTCTGAACTGGGCTAGAATATGGGTACCAAGTGGGTTTGTCCACGGTTTCCATGGTGGCCCCACATGGGTTTGCCCAAGTAAATTTTAATGGGTGCTAACTGGGTTTTCAGTGGGGCCCATGTGGTTAACTTACATGAGGCTCATCTGTGGCCCACTAGGGTGCTGTCAGGAATATTTACCTGGGTCCCAATTGGGTCTGAACTGGGCTAGAATATGGGTAACAAGTGGGTTTGTCCACGGTTTCCATGGTGGCCCCACATGGGTTTGCCCAGGTTGATTTCAATGGGTGCTGACTGGGTTTTCAGTGGGGCCCATGTGGTTAACTTACATGAGGCTCATCTGTGGCCCACTAGGGTGCTGTCAGGAATATTTACCTGGGTCCCAATTGGGTCTGAACTGGGCTAGAATATGGGTAATAAGTGGGTTTGTCCACGGTTTCCATGGTGGCCCCACATGGGTTTGCCCAGGTTGATTTCAATGGGTGCTGACTGGGTTTTCAGCGGGACCCAGATGCCTTAATCCTGTAGGAACAATTCTCATCTATGGATGTGAATTACATTCATAGATATGCAATCTTGATCAACAATCCAAAGTCCAGCTTAAAACATGTTCAAATAAAAAAAAAAAAAAGAGATGAAAAATTTATTTTGCTCAAGGCTTTTATTTAGTAATTTAAAATATTGTCAGGAGTTATTTTTTACCTCACTACAGCAATTATTAGAACTTCATTAATACTCAGGGAATGGTGCCACAAAAAGAAATCTGCAATTATTCACGACATCTTTGAAAATAACAGAAGCTAGTTTACTATAACAAACTTATAAACAGATCTATAAATATATATCTATAGATGCACACAAATAAAGACACCTACATATTTTCCTACAGGTCTATAAATGTATACATCTAAATACTATCTATATAACTTTATACACGTATATTCACATTGATACACACAATGTGAATATACACACCTATATAGATCTTTCACAATACATTTTTGTTAAACATTTTTAAAAATAACCTACATGCCATATGCATGCTTAAATTTGAAATCTCTCATACTTTACTGAAACTGTCCATCTTGAAAGACCTCCCCAACCTGAGTTTGAACTGGCAGTCTCTCTAGTCTATTTCCACTTCCACTCGGGCTCCAGTAAACCACTTCGAGAGTCTTTGCTGTATGCTTGTGTGATTCTGTAGATGGATAATTTCTTTTAAGTCCCCTGAAATAACAAGCAAAGGTAGAAATTGTATTAGTGTTTCATTTTAGCACAATGTAACATTCATGAGATTTGCATCTCCCCCTTCATGGGGCAAAAATGCTTGCAGAGATATGCCATAATCAAAAGGACTCGAGTCATCATTATTATGTACAGAAACTATATTCTTACTGTAAATTTAAAATATATCCATCTATATAAATCAACTACTAGGTTCTATCGTGGTTTTGTGGTTATTTTAATATTGTTTGAAATGCAAACAATATTACCTTCAAATTTTTAAGTTCTTAACAACAGTGAAAGAATACTGTTCAAATAAAACCAAAAATTGAAGACTCAATTTTTAACCTAAAAACATTACTAAAAATAACAAAAAGCATAAAACAACCAAAATAAATTAACATATGTTTAAGAAGAAAAGTGAAAAAAAAAAGTTACTCTGACAATAAAAACTGATATTTACCATACAAAACATCAAAGAGACGCAGGTCCAAGAGCTTGTTTCCCATGTTGGCCAAAAGGTTGAACTGGACTTCCAGTTCATGGGACATGAGGAATCGCACAGCTGGTTGTATTGTGTCATCTAAGGATGCTCCTCCAATTTCTGTAGCCATGGCAACCTTAAGTACAATGACAATAACAGGACAACATTTTGTTTTTGTTCATCAGTTTGTCATTATATCACTCTTATGTGCTTAATTTTACTAACATATTAATCTACCTTTTTCAAATCATTATAAAGTGATCTTCACACGCTGATCCTCTTGAAGCCTGCAAAATATATCTTTTATTAGTGCAATATAACATTTAGACTTTTCAAAAAAATAAAAAAATTAAGGCAAAACAGCCTTTGTATGGATTAACTACTGAAGCCTTATATTGTAAACACTGAACAGTTTTGCAATTATCCTAATTTCTTTGTTAACGTGACAGGACTAAGACAGTAGTATTACTCTTAAGAGAAGTTTAGAAAATCACTATAAATGTAACTAATAAAGCCTAAAACATTGCACATATAAAAAAATTAGAGCTACAATTAAATATAAGTACATTTCACATAACTGCTAGCTAAATATTGCAAAAATATCAAAAAGAATTTCTTCATCTTTCAATATTTGTTTCAGGCTTGGCCACTGATTGACATGATGGGTTTCAATTTACGGACCCACATGCAGTAACCACACGTTGGATAGGGATGAGTGAGTGATTTATTTACAACAGGACAAAATAAAATCTATTTCCCGGACATCAGCGGAAGGGTGAGGACCACTCGACCAGGTTGGCCTGAAACGAGAACTTAGTTATGACGGGCTTAGAATGAGTGATCGGAGGGGAAACAGGAACAGGCTTACTTCGGTGCGGGTCTTTCGAGGCGTGGGTGTGAGATGCCAGGTTCCTGAGAGAGGGTGTGCAGCGGTTCCGAAGGTAAATGCGAGGTGGGAATGGAAGAGAGCTGGAAGCTCAAAGGGTGGAGTGGAGGCAGTGGAATCGGCGGAGCGAGCACGCAGGTATTCACTGGTGAGTTCTCGAATGAGGCGACAAAACCCCTAGGATCGAACAAACACAGAGACCAGGTGACTTCTAGTAGACACAGAAACGTTCTCAGAAAACTGTTCACAACAGGAGAGGCCAGAGTGACTACCGGTGTATGCAACCATCTAGCATACACCAGTAGAATCTTCAGTCAATCTAGCGTAGACTGAAGATTCTGCTGCTCCTCCACCTGTGCCAAGCTCCACGGGCTCCTCACAAAGATCCTCGCTGAAATAAGATGCGACACTCACATACACACACAGGAACCCTGACACTGATGACTACTCTAGACCAACACAATAGCGGCAGATTGAAATAAACTATGACATAACAAAACGCTTTAAAGTGTCACACAACAATTAAAAAAATTTAAAAATATGAACTACAATGCCTTCATCCTATTTACAAAAAACCTTTTAGGCCCAATATACTGAAACCACATGGGCCCCATATAGTGTTCCCATTTCTGTCCCATGCCCAGTTAGCCCACGTTAATGCTGAATTGGGCCCATACATTTAACCCAATTGAGCCAACAATATGAGTCCCATTTCGGTTAACCTTTTGAGCCTCACGCAGTTGGCCCAGATAAAACCCATGCCCTCTTATCATTACCTATATAGCCCAAAGCTAAACGATTCAATGCAGTTTTATTGAAAAAAACGACAATAATAATCTTGCATGGGTCCCAGCCAAACCAGCCTGAATCCATACATGAGACCCACCCATGCATGCTGATGTGACTGAGAAAGATTATTAAAAGCCCAAGTACATAGAATGAAAGCACAATAGTTACTCTTTTTAAATCATACAAATGGTTTTATTGTGTCCAGACACTGTAACAACCTCTGCTAGCAACATAGATTCTTCAGTGAACCGATTTCATTCTGCCTCGTTGGCGCTCAAATGAACCAATGGCAGCTCAACAAATAGAATGGCGGCGGTATTTGAAAATGGTTTGGCCCACAACGCTGCGTTTGAAATCGGTCTGCACTAAAATCTGCTTATTGTGTGTAGCTGTGTGTGTTAGCAATATCAGAAAAAGTATCACCCTAAAGAAAAGCAAAAATAACAATAACAATTAAGTCTCTTTTGGGATACTGTCGTCCGATTTGTTACGAGCAACAATTTTTTTAACAAGCGATTTAAAATCTCTCCCTAAAATTTGGTACTAGGTAAAACAGAAGAAACGTACTTACAGATTCTTTCGTAGATCAGCCGGCAGACTCCGCGCCAACGGACTGATGAAGAGAACAGGCTTGATTTTGAAACCGCATATCCATCCGCGGGTCATTTTACGTTTTCCAAGAAACACAAGATTAATTTTTGAGAGTGCTACATCGGTTTAACAAATGTAAAACCGATGTAGCAAAAGTTCTCAATGTAAATAAATACATTTCGTTGTCCTCCTTATTCAAATATGTTTTGGAACTATTTTCTTCAGTGGATGTGTAAAGTGCCTACCGGTACTTCAATTCACCAACCTTTATTGGCAACGGTGCCTCAGAGCAAACAATGAACAAAAAGGTAATTGGAACCAAATAAATCATTAACAGAAATGTTACGTTTTTTTATTTTTTATTTTTATTTATACTGATGACTTGGAAAATGTTTGCAAATATATGAAAAAACAGATGCTCAAAATTTTACTCTTGTCTCTCACTTGCTAATGAGTTTTGTTTATTTTCTAAACATTTTGTGATATTTTTCACAATGGTCTAATCTGAACTATTTGTCCAAATAAAAATTTAAATCTTGCTGCGAACAGGCTGCAGTAAACTCTATGGATGTCTAAACATCCAATTGATAAAAAATAATAATAAAAATAAAATAAAAAGTTATTATTATTAAAAATAAAACAAGGACTAAAGCTCAACCATGACCACTCTGTGCTTAATTTTGAGTAAGCACCAGAATATGAGTTTACGTATATATTTCAAACAGATTATTTCAAAAAAAATGTTTTAAGACATTCAGACTGCAATAATAAAATGAAAAAAAGTTAGGGGTTCAAAGTGTAGCAAGAGCAATACTGAACTGGCTTTTGCTTTGACATACAGTGAAAAGTTTGAAAGTGACAGGGTAACCACATTGTCGATTAAAATGTTCTACAATTTTGTCCCATTTAGACCATGAAAAAAAGTACTAGGGGCTACATTTTCCTGCCCAGGTCCAACCCATGTATGGTTAGCCCATGCTCATGTCATGTTAGTTTAATGTGGACAGCGGTCCACATTGGGCTTCTCATGTGGGGCTCATGATACTGAAACCACATGGGCCCCAAATAGTGTTGCCCATTTCTGTCCCATTTCCAGTTAGCCCACATTGTTGCTGAATAGGGCCCATACATTTAGCCCAAATGGGCCAGCCCATAGGGGTCCCATTTTAGTTAACCATATGTGTCCCATGAGGTTTGCCCAGATAAAACCCATGACCACTCATTACCCATATGGCCTACTACAAACCCAAGGGGGGCCCCTCATGCGTACTGGCTTGGAGACTGGACTGGACTGTTCTAGCATAAAATAATAACATGAAAAAATGTTAAGGGTTCAAAGTGTGGCTAGAGCAATACTGAACTGGTTTAAAAAAATAAAGCATTGTAGAATTATTTTTAATGTTTTAATATCCTGGTCCTCTGGAAGCCTATTGTTTGTAAATGAGCCAGGCATAGATATCACACAGTGAACATGTTTTAGGTTCAAACATTAGGAAGACATGGATGTTCTGTTCTATCAGCAAAATATATCCTTGGGTGATCTCCAAGACGAGGTCACCTTCGTCCTGGAGACCTCGACAATGGTCAAGGTCACCAACCTTTACTATCGTCGAGGTTTCCTACAAGGAAAAAATTAAATTCTACAATTTACCTTACATCAACTCCATTAGAGGCCAGCTGAGTAACAATTGCCTTGGCAAAGACTATAAAGCTGACATCTCGGGTAATTCTTTCCAAGTTTTGAGAATCTTGCTCTTGCAGCTTTTGCTTTGACATACAGTCAAAATTTTGAAAGTGACAGGTTAACTACAGGGGTTGGACAATGAAACTGAAACACCTGGTTTTAGACCACAATAACTTATTAGCGTGGTGTAGGGCCTCCTTTTGAGGCCAATACAGCATCAATTCGTCTTGGACAAGTATGGGGCCAAGGGAATGCCATGATATGGCAGCCCACACCATCAATGATCCACCCCCATGCTTCACTCTGGCATACAACACTCTGGCTGGAATGCATCTTTGGGGCTTCTCCACACCGTAACTCTCCCGGATGTGGGGAAAACAGTAAAGGTAGACTCATCAGAGAACAATACATGTTTCACATTGTCCACAGCACAAGATTTTCGCTCCTTGCACCATTGAAACCGACGTTTGGCATTGATACGAGTGACCAAAAGTTTGGCTATAGCAGCCCGGCTGTGTATATTGACCATGTGGAGCTCCCGACGGACAGTTTGGTGGAAACAGGAGAGTTGAGGTGCACATTTAATTCTACCGTGATTTGGGCACCGTGGTTTTATGTTTTTGGGATACAATCCAGGTTACCACCCAAAATCTCTTTAAGACAGCTTCATCTTGCATCCACAGTTAATCCTGTTAGATGTGGTTCGTCATTCTTGGTGGTATGCTGACATTACCCTGGATACTGTGGCTCTTGATAATCACAAAGACTTGCTGTCTTGGTGAACAATTTGCCCTCTTTTGAACTCCAGTATGTCCCAAATAATGTTATGCATTGCAATATTTTGAGCAAAACTGTGCTCTTACCCTGCTAATTGGACCTTCACACTCTGCTCTTACTGTTGCAATGTGCAATTCATGAAGATTGGCCACCAGGCTAGTCCAATTCAGGCATGAAACCTCCCACACTAAAATGAGAGGTGTTTCAGTTTCATTGTCCAACCCCTGTACATTGTTCTACAATTTTGTCTCATTTAGCCCACTTAAAAAAGGACTGGGGTCTACATATCCACACCCAGGTCCAACCTGG